TAAAGCAATTACAAAGAACTACAAACCGATAGCACTAACATCCCACATCATAAAAATCTTTGAGAGGGTTCTAAGAACCAAGATAGTCAACCACCTAGATACCCATCAGTTACACAACCCAGGGCAACATGAGTTTAGAGCAGATCACTCCTGCCTGTCCCAGCTACTGGACCACTATGACAAGGTCCTGGATGCTGTAGAGGATAAACAAAATACAGATGTGGTATACACAGACTTTGCAAAAGCTTTCGACAAGTGTGACCATGGTGTAATAGCACACAAAATGCGGGATAAAGGAATAATGGGAAAAGTTAGTAGATGGATCTACAACTTCCTGACAAATAGAACACAAAGAGTAATAGTAAACAGAGTAAAGTCCCAGGCAGCCATGGTAAAAAGCTCTGTTCCACAAGGCACAGTACTCACTCCCATTCTATTCCTCATCCTCATTTCTGACGTAGACAGAGATGTAAGCCATAGCTCTGTGTCTTCCTTTGCGGATGACACCCGGATCACCAAGGCAATGACTTCCATCGAAGACACTGCCAGACTCCAAGCGAACATCAACCAAATCTTCGAATGGACCACTCAAAACAATATGAAGTTCAATGAGGAGAAATTTCAACTACTCAGATATGGAAAACTTGAAGAAATTAAAAATGTGTTAGGGTATACCACAAATTCTAACCATACAATAGAACGGAAAAGTAATGTGAAGGACCTGGGAGTGATAATGTCAGAGAATCTCGCCTTCAAAGACCACAACAATGTATCTACCTCATCCGCTAGGAAAATGATAGGATGGATAATGAGAACCTTCAAAACTAGGGATGCCAAGCCCATGATGATTGTCTTCAAATCGCTTGTGCTCTCTAGGCTGGAATACTGCTGTACATTAACAGCCCCCTTCAAGGCTGGCGACATTGCAGACCTGGAGAGTGTACAAAGAACTTTCACGGCACACATAAGCGCGATAAGGCACATAAACTACTGGGAACGGTTGAAGGTCCTTGATCTGTATTCCCACAGACAAGAGAGATACATGATAATATACACTTGGAAGGTCCTGGAGGGATTGGTACCAAACTTGCACATGAAAAATCACTCTATATGAAAGCAAAAGACTCGGCAGGAGATGCAACATTTCCCAGACGAAAAGCAGGGGTGCCACGAGTACACTGAGAGACAACACAATAAGTGTTCAATTGCCTCTCAGCATACCTAAGGAGGATTACCAATAGACCCCTGGCTGTCTTCAAGAAGGCACTGGACAGGCACTTCAAGTCAGTACCTGACCAACCGAGCTGTGGTTCGTACATCAGCTTGCATGCGGCCAGCAGTAACAGCCTGGTTGATCAGACCCTGATCCACCATGCCGCCTGGTCTCAGACCGGGCTGTGGGGGCATTGACCCCCGAAACCCTCTCCAGGTAAACAGAGAGGCTAGTATGGGCCACACTGTGACCACAAATTCAAGTTTTTACAGATGAATCTCCCACCAGCATGGCTATGACAAGCTCTAGCTCAAGTCCCCTCAAAACTGTCATCATGACTCACAAAATCATAACATGATTGCAAACATACTACAGTACAGGAGGGGTTAGAATCAAGCGAGTCATCACACTCCAGGCCAGTGTGTAACCCCACCCATACCGTGGTTTGTTTACAATCATGTTATTACAATTTCCTGAGTTTAAAATAGCAACTTTGAGGTGCTCTCTAGGATAGTTTTTATTGTTACATTGTCTGTTTCTTGGTATCACTGACAGAATGGAAAACATATTACTGAAGCAGAAATGATTTTTATCAGTTTCAGCTCTGATGTAGCAAGAAATAGGACTCAAAGTGGGAGAAATATGATGATTTTTCTGAGGAATGACAGGGGCCCCCTGGCCCCCTCCAGTATATCTTATAGGTTTCTGTTAGGACTGTTTCAATTGCTGGGACACCTTAAACCACAACCAATCCTTCTTGCTTATATTTTATCCGAGAAATAAGGTAAAACTTCAACTGTGTCCGACATACTAGTACACACCATTTTTTGTACCCACAAATCTGCCATCTGCCAATATTTTTTACCTCAAGACAACTCTTTGGAACCTCTTCCATCTATTCATACATTTGAAAAAAATCTAAGGCCAGCAGGGTCCACACAATATATCATAGTTAACTACTCAGGGAATGATTGTATGGCCGACATACTAGTACGTCTCACTAGCAGAAGTAAATAAAAGAACCAGGAGCTGTTGTTCCACCACCACCTCTCCTACCAGCAAACAAGGTGTGCAAGTGGTTGAAAGATGACTTATTCAGTCCAAATTTATGACAATTTCATGATGCTATTAGTGGAATTCAGCCACCAAACACACTAGGTATATAACCCAGAATAACCCAGTAAAGTCAATGTGAATAATTTCCATGTTTTAATGAATATTATACCCTAAAGTTATTGTAATATTATAAGTATTCATTATACACAGCCCTAGAAGAGTAAAACAGTAGAAAAATATAATTTAAATAACAATTATAAAGTATATATACCTTATATATAACCCAGTAAAGTTAATCAATATTACTTATTTCCACATTTTGAGGAGTATTACACTCTGAAACAATTGTTATGTTATAAATATCCTTTATACATAGCCTTAGAAAACCAAAATAGTAAAAAAAAACGAAAAAAAAAGAACAAAAACCAGTCATACTGTATCTATACCAATTATTCCAAGTGAAGTGCTAAAACGCCTTGAAACACATCTAGTATTATAAAAAACTAGTATAATGTTAAAATTAAAGGCAATTTAAAAAACAATCATATATTAGCACCAATAATTGTAAAATGTAAACATCACTGGTGCTTTAAAGATACTGTTGCTGATTAGTGGTCATTTTTTCACCAACTTCAACATACCAAAAAATTGTAAGTTTTCATCTGATTTTACTCATTTTAGTCTTATTCAATTAGAAAAACAAACTCTTGACTAAGAATTTTTTTTTTATTTTTCAAAATCATCCCCACACAATTTTTTTTCAGGTCTCCCACAGTTATTGGTTAATGAACAAAGAAAATACTGCTACAGTGGCTGCTACAGTGTTTATTTTTAAGTCTAATTTTAATTGGAATTTTATTAATTTCATGCAAAACTGGCCAAATTACCAACTTCTCTGAACATTATAGGGTATTTCTGATAGATGAATAGGCATCTTCTCTTGTTCAACTGATAGAACAGAAAGCAAACTAGTGCAATAACAAGAAATTTGGTCGAATTGAGCATGGGAATTGGCTTAAAACAGGACTCAAATTAGATGAAATCATTTATGTGTAAATTACACCCAGACTCAGATTGCAAAACTTTGCATTTGCATAATTCTGCAAGTTCTCCATCAAATTTCACATTTTTTATGTCATTAACTTCCGAACAAAATTCTGAATAATTTCAGATTTAAAAAAAAAAAAAAACTGACATTAATTCCAGTGTTCATGACTGTGAAAGGGTTCAAGCAACCAAAATAATGCATGGTATATGACACCTTTCTGCTTCTAGCAAAATAGATGAGGTTAATCATAGAATTGATGAAGGAAAAAAGGTGAGTGGTGCATTGAGGTATATGTGGAGACAAAAAAATGTTATCTATGGAGCCAAAGAAGGGAATGTATGAAAGTATAGTGGTACCAACACTCTTATATGGGTGTGAAGCTTGGATCGTAAATGCTGCAACAAGGAGGCGGTTGGAGGCAGTAGAGATGTCCAGTCTAAGGGCAATGTGTGGTGTACATATTATGCAGAAAATTTAGAGTGTGGAAATTAGGAGAAGGTGTGGAGTTAATAAAAGTATTAGTCAGAGGGCTGAAGAGGGGTAGTTGAGGTGGTTTGGTCGTTTAGTGAGAATGGATCAAAGTAGAATGACATGGAGAGCATATAAATCTGTAGGGGAAGGAAGGCGGGGTAGGGGTCGTCCTCGAAAAGGTTGGAGGGAGGGGGTAAAGGAGGTTTTGTGAGTGAGGAGCTTGGACTTCAAGCAAACGTGCATGAGCGTGTTAGATAGGAGTGAATGGAGACGAATGGTATTTGGGACCTGATGAGCTGTTGGAGTTTGAGCAGGGTAATATTTAGTGAAGGGATTCAGGGAAACCAGTTATTTTATGTAGCCGGACTTGAGCCCTGAAATGGGAAGTACAATGCCTGCACTTTAAAGGAGGGGTTTGGGATATTGGCAGTTTGGAGGGATATGTTGTGTATCTTTATACGTATATGCTTCTAAACTGTTGTATTTTGAGCACCTCTGCAAAAACAGTGATTATGTGAGAGTGAGGTGAAAGTGTTGAATGATGATGAAAGTATTTTCTTTTTGGGGATTTTTTCTTTCTTTTTGGGTCACCCTGCCTCAGTGGGAGATGGCCGACTTAAAAAAAAAAAAAAAAAAAAAAAAAAACACACACATGGAGAACCTGTTAGCAGTCTGCTTTTAATCTTTATATTTTTTTTTTCTGGGTTGAGGGGGGCTGAAGACATGTCCTACCTTTGAGCCACTTTTGGCTTATAACATACAAACAATAAATACACATTCTGCAAGCCTACCAGTATTATCTCACTCTTACCTACGAAACAAAATTGTAAATACCCTAACCCATAAAAGAAGTCAAGTAAAACATGTTCTCTACCTAATTCTTTATATAAGTACAGCAAATAATTGATTTTACTAAAAAATGCTATATTATAAACGTCTACCATTATGAATAGCTTATTTATAATTTCCACTAATGCTGAAAATGAGGGGAGTTTCAAGGTAATGTATCGTACACTGGTTCATTCAAGAAATGTTCATTAAAATTACTAGTATTACAAAGATTACCACGAGGAGGAAGATTAGGAGAAAGAGAGGGCCCGGAATACATTTGTGCAGGAAATATGGGTAAGGGTGGATGTAATATTTGAGGTGAGGGTAAAGGGTATGTCGGAGCTTCAGGAGGTTGTTCACTAGGTCGACTGCCTCTCTTACCATTCTGGCTAGGGTAGGTCTTGGTGCAGTTCTGGTATATGATTGGTAATGGGAAGTGTTGAGCAGTGCGGAAATGAAATTTGCTCTCAAAATCACCACCTGCAATGTTAGAAGTCAATGAAATGAATGTGATGCTCCTTTATAACTCAATATTATTTATTAGATTTATGCATTAAGAAATGAAAATTTTAAATGTTCTATTGCAGCTTATCCATTTATAATGGCTGAAAAGAAAAATTAATAAACAATCAGTGAGCATAAACATCTAATTATATGAACAATTTTACCATTTATTATAAACAATAAACTGCAGTATTTCAATATATTCATTACATATCCAAACTCTGGACAATGGAGTTGTTTATACTCTATATAACTAATATAACGTAAGTGATAAATACTTCAAACAGCAAAATAGGCTATAAGTTTTAATTGTAAAGCTATCTATTCACTAAGCAATTAGCAAAATTATTACCCACAGTATTATAAAGCAAATTCTAACAAAATACAGTATACTGTATCTGAAAGCTCTCAAGCTCCCTTTGATTCAATAAATTTATAATGGTAAGTCCCATACTTTATACACAAACTATGAGGAACTACAGCCTAACTGCACTTTCAGCAGTTAACCAATGATAAAAATATTTTGGAAATAGATATACAGGAATGTGTTACAATGATGGGCTTGAAGTTTCATTCCCTACAAGGAGGCAATCACTAACAGCATCACTGGTCAGAGACTGGGTTGCAATTAGAGGATGGAGTATCAAGTCTCCATCATTCCTGGTGTAGAATAACCCACACAGGTTTAGTGTTAAATACAACTAATAATAATAGATGGAAAAACCCATAAACAGCATCTGTGAAATACTAGGTGTAAAACTAAAACAGCATCCAAGAAAAGCAACACACTTTGTCTCAAGACGATGAATACAGTACAGTAGACTGTCGATTAAGATGTGAACTTTCAGGATTTTTTTTTCCCTCAAGGAAGGTTCCTTGATGTTGGTGAGGGGCTCTTGATTTAGGGAATTGGATCTGTGCTCCAGTTCCCCGAATTAAGCCTGAATGCCTTCCACATCCCCCCCCCCCCCCCAGGCGCTGTATAATCCTCCGGGTTTAGCGCTTCCCCCTTGATTATAATAATAATAATCAGGAATTTTTCGCTACCTGACAGTTTTTTGATCATTATGCCATGATTGCTTATTTATGACAGTGTAACTGTAGCTAAAAGCCAGTACAAGAAGGTTAGTAACTAACTGATAATTAAACTAACTACACACTGCTGGGCCACTAACAGTCAATTCACTCACCACAGCTGTATTTATACAAATGTTGAAAATGTTAGTGAATGACATTACAGTTTCAGAAATACAGTAAGTAAATGGAAAAATTGAATGGATAATTCTGCGGCACTGCCATGATAAATGTCTATGTTTGAAGTTCAGAGAGTCACTACTGAATACACTGTTTATATATAAATTGTTCATCACCACATGAGTCTTTAGAAAAACCAACAAATGTGACTAAATTGGCTGTTTCCTGCATACCATGCAGTGTTTTCATATCCTTTTCATCATCAGGGATAAAATGTTAGGATACTGGAGATTATGTTTATATATAAACTGAGAGGGACTCCAAGATTTATACATCATTTACTTCCTTCAGTTTGCATAATCAGGGTTATGATAAAAGGAAACAAAATATAATGTAAATACAATACACTGTGTGCACTATATATATATATATATATATATATATATATATATATATATAGGTTGGTAGACAGCAACCGCCCAGGGAGGTACTACCGTCCTGCCAAGTGAGTGTAAAACGAAAGCCTGTAATTTGTTTTACATGATGGTAGGATTGCTGGTGTCTTTTGTCTGTCTCATAAATATGCAAGATTACAGGTAAGTCTTGCTACTTCTACTTACACTTAGGTCACACTACACATACATGTACAAGCATATATATACACACCCCTCTGGGTTTTCTTCTATTTCTTTCTAATTCTTGTTCTTGTTTATTTCCTCTTATCTCCATGGGGAAGTGGAACAGAATTCTTCCTCTGTAAGCCATGCGTGTCGTAAGAGGCGACTAAAATGCCGGGAGCAAGGGGCTAGTAACCCCTTCTCCTGTATATATTACTAAATTTAAAAGGAGAAACTTCAGTTTTTTCTTTTGGGCCACCCCACCTCAGTGGGATACGGCTGGTACGTTGAAAGAAGAATATATATATATATATATATATATATATATATATATATATATATATATATATATATATTGGCAGTTTGGAGGGATATGTTGTGTATCTCTATACGTATATGCTTCTAAACTGTTATATTCTGAGCACCTCTGCAAAAGCAGTGATAATGTGTGAGTGTGGTGAAAGTGTTGAATGATGATGAAAGTATTTTCTTTTTGGGGATTTTCTTTCTTTTTTGTGGGTCACCCTGCCTCGGTGGGAGACGACCGACTTGTTGAAAAAAAAAAAAAAAAAAATATATATATATATATATATATATATATATATATATATATATATATATATATATATATATATATATATATATATATATATATATATATATATATATGACCCTCAGCTAACGATATTAATCCGTTCCTGAAAGCTCGTCGTATGCTGAAAATATCGTTAGCTGAATTAATTTTCCCCATAAGAAATAATGGAAATCAAATTAATCTGTGCAAGACAGCCCAAAGTATGAAAAAAAAAAAAAAAATTTACCACATGAAATATTAATTTTAATACACACAAACTGACACTGACCTTTACTGAAGATCTGGTGATGAATGATGGGATGGGAGGAGGGGAGAGTGTGGAAGCTGTTAATATTTAGAAGGGGAATCCCCTTCCATTAGGACTTGAGGTATCAAGTCCTTTTCTGGGGTTACTTCCCTTCTTCTTTTAATGCCACTAGGACCAGCTTGAGAGTCACTGGACCTCTGTCGCACAACATATCTGTCCGTAGAGGCCTGTACCTCCCGTTCCTTGAATTTGTCTAAAGTGGTTCACAACATTGTCATTGTAATAGTCACATTATCACACTATGTATGCCACTATGATTCTTAAATCTCTCAAACCAACCTTTGCTGGCCTTAAATTCACTCACATCACCACTAGTTGCAGGCATTTTTCTAATTAAATCCTCATGCAACTTCCTAGCCTTTTCACATACGATCGCTCGAGAGATGCTATCTAATGCTATCTGTTTTTCGTTTATCCACACCAATAACAGTCTCTCAACATCTTCTATCACTTGCGATCTCTTATTTGAAAACAAAGTTGCACCTTTTGCAAGAACAGCTTCCTTGACTGTCGTTTTCTTGGCCACAATAGTAGCGATGGTTGATTGGGGTTTGGTATACAACCTGGCCAGCTCCGAGACACGCACTCCACTTTCGTACTTGGCAATTATCTCTTTATTCATATCCACAGTAATTCTCACCTTTTTTCCTGCAGGGTTGGCACTAGAAGCTTTCTTGGAGCCCATGGTGACTTATTTTGCAGGTACAATAACTAAAAACGCTGTGATAATATGAAACGTTCCAATTGTATGCGTAGATGCGACCGCACTGGCTGGCTTGTAAACACTGGCACCCATGGGACACCTGAGGCGCGCTCAGGCCACATGTGGATGCGCCTCGAACGAATTGCGTAGGGTGAGTTTTTTAGCGTTAGCCGAGGCAAAATTTTTGCGTTAAAATGTATCATATGCTGTATTTAATGTTAGGTGATGCCATCGTTAGCCGAGGGTCCACTGTATCTGTCTGTGTGTGTGTGTGTGTGGGGTGTGTGTGTGTGTGTGGTTATTATATATATAAAATATATATATATATATATATATATATATATAATATAAAATATAATATATATATATATATATATATATATATATATATATTGTATCTTTCTTTCAACACACAACCGGCCGTATCCCACCGAGGCGGGGTGGCCCAAAAGGAAAAAACGAAAGTTTCTCCTTTTACATTTAGTAATATATACAGGAGAAGAGGTTACTAGCCCCTTGCTCCCGCATTTTAGTTGCCTCTTACAACACGCATGGCTTACGGAGGAAGAATTCTGTTCCACTTCCCCATGGAGATAAGAGGAAATAAACAAAAAATAAGAACTAGAAAGAAAATAGAAGAAAACCCAGAGGGTGTGTATATATGTGCTTGTACATGTATGTGTAGTGGACCTAAGTGTAAGTAGAAGTAGCAAGACGTACCTGAAATCTTGCATGTTCATGAGACAGAAAAAAGGACACCAGAAAATCCTACCATCATGTAAAACAATTACAGGCTTTCGTTTTAAACTCACTTGGCAGGACGGTAGTACCTCCCTGGGCGGTTGCTGTCTACCAACCTACTACCTACAATATATATATATATATATAAACAATAGGGCCCCGCTTTACGGCGTTCCGCTTTACGGCGTTCCGCTAATACGGACATTTCAAATTATGACCAAAACTCACTATACGGCTCCCCCCACCTGACTTTCTAATACGGTCACCGTGCCCCACCCTGTTTGTTTACATTCTCCATGAGCTCAGTAATCTCTAAGTCTCTCCATTTTGTCTGGAAACTCCAAAATTTCAAATGTTTTTAAAAGTTATTTCATATTTTATATATACTCTGATAATTATACTTATGTATACCTGTACCTAAATAAACTTACATAATCAAGTCATTTAAATGTGTATATTACGTTAATATACACATTTCATTAATCCATCCATGATATTTTTTTCAAAATTATATAATAAAACACGATGCATAACATATAAATAAGATAAATACACCCCACAGTAGAATAAATAAACATAAATATAAGATGTGGGAGCCTGGTTTGTTTACATAACTCTGCGCCTGTTACCTCTCATGTACTCATTTTTTTCTCTTTTCTCATTTATTCGTTTTATCTCATTTACTTACTCCTGACCCTACATTAAGACTACAAATATTTTAAGGTAAGTAATGAGTGAACTGTATATACATTTTATCAAATCTGGGGTGCTTTAAAAATCCCTAGAATAGTAGTGTGGGTGGGGGGCCTGGCGAGGTAG